ATACTATTTGTGTGAACTGTTACAAAGATTCAGAAACATGAATGTAAGCATATTGTTTTTATGCTAAAGGTTTCTGAATGCTATATTATTGTTGCCTGAGTACTTGAGTTTAAGTGGAGTAAAGATCATATGTATATTTCATAGTTCTGTTGTTATAAATTTGTATTATTTTAGTATTGTAGTGCAAAGATTTGTGAATACCTTTGGTGTGCAGTGTTATAAAATCTAGAGGTATGATGTAAGGTGATAGTTTTGATGTAACAATTTTGATCATTGTTCTATTTGAAAAATTAAACAAGAGCAAGGCAGACTGTAATTTGACACACTGGTTACAGTAGACTTACATTGCTTAGCTGAGGTCTGTTTTAGTAGTGTCCTAGTAATTTGCTGTGAAATCATGATTTTTTTGAAGTTAATGCCTTTACAGTGATTTTGCTACTAAGTGCTGAAAGAGGTAATAAATAGAAGTGAACTGGAGTTAAAACAGAGGACTAGACAGACTGAAGACAGAAAAATCAGTAACTGCTAAATACTCGTAAAGATACTCAGAGCAGTGCCTTGTGCTTAGAACATCTGTAAGTGTTAGGTGAGATATGAATGAAAAGGAATAGTCTTTCAGTATTTTTAAGTACATAAACAAAAGCCAACCCACTGTTTAGTAAGTCCAGATCAAAAGTCTATCAAACTATGCATTTTATCATCAAAGTTAATGAAATCAAATTTTAAATAAACTCTAGAAAGGTCAAGTTACAATCAGTATGGGTGCAATCAGTGGGGATTTGTCTGAAGTTTCTTCTGGTTTAGGCAAGGGCTGGTTTGCTCCTTTTTCCAGCAACCATATGATGGGGAATCACAAACCAGACCCTCTTTGCCTACCTGCACATTTTTGGGTCCCTGTCAGGGCTGCTGCTTTTGTTTTTTGGTGTGTATAAGATTGCTCTGTTTTGTTTTGGTTCCAAAATATGTGATTGGTGGGACTGAACCAAAGTGGCTGTCACTTTCAACTTAGCTACTGCAGGATCTAAGCATTTATTAAGAAAGCTTCCTCCCACTCTCCCGCAGAGGGGAAGACAGAAGACAATGCAAAGTTACTTTTAAAAAATGCCCATGTTGTCCAGCACTGAATTGGTTGCTTGGCAAGCCCATTCAGCACTACTCTACTTGTAAATACATTTTTTTTAATTGCTCCCAATTCCCCACAGAGAGGGAACAGGAGAAGACAAGCAGGGACATCTTTCCTTTTTGCTTTCTTTTTCTTTTTGTCTTTCCTTTGAAAGGATGGAGTGGACTAAATATGGATACTTGAAATGTGGCATGTTTGAAACTGCCCCGAATGACACACTGCATCTCAAAGCAAACCTGCGTAGGACAATCCAGCCTATGACTGTTTAGCCATCTAGTTGTATGCTGTGTTGTACAAGGCCTTGCTCCTTGCTTCTGCCTCTACAATGATGTGAATATATGCTCAACAGCTAAGGACAAAAGCAAACCTGCGTAGGACAATCCAGCCTGTGACTGTTTAGCCATCTAGTTGTACGCTGTGTTGTACAAGGCCTTGCTTCTGCCTCTACAACGATGTGAATAAATGCTCAACAGCTAAGGACAGACTATTGAGATTTTGATATGAATATGTATTAAATATAAATGTTGCATGATTAAATGTCAAATGGCATTTTACCTGAGTCATTGTACTGATTGTATTCGGGTGTAGTTCCCAAGGTTTGAGACTTAATGTTGTAGAGCTGTGGTACATGATGAAAACTTTGTGTAACTGAAAATGAAGTAATGTATTTTCTGATTGGTCCCAGAACTGTACATAAGTCATGTGTAAAGGGGACATTTTCTCTGCTGTAAGTCAGATCATTTTTCCTATGCTGTGTGTTGTATCATGTCATGTAATGCTGCCAGATGAATGTCTATTCTCTCTGTATAAAAGTAGATATACTAAGCTGATACTTTACTCTCTTAGAGTCATAGTGTCTATGCAAACTAATATCTCCTTACTCTGCTAATGTTATGAGAATACACGTATAATCAAAATTCTAAACAGACATGCATCTGATGAAGTGGACTCTGGTGTAGTGCATAGCCTGGGATGGACAACACAGCCACTCAAGACCATGAGGGTAATATTTTCAGTTTTTTAAAAAATGTGTGTGTGTTTTTTTTAAAAAAGAACAAAATTTTTATTGCCAAAAAAAACCCCTATTGCAGCAAGTTTTGTAAAGCATAACTGCTGTATTTAAATAAATAAAGTTCCAAATTAATCTCTGTGAGCGCACTTCTCCCCTTTAGCCCAGCCCCCTTAGAAGTGCTGCCTCACTGCAGGTTGATAGGTCTAAAAACTGATCTTCATCCCTGCTGAGATTTCCCAGGCCTCTCTAAGGTGCCACAAGATTCCTGTTTATTTTTGCGGTAGACAAGATGCTAATGTTAACTAGTTGCCTGATCAAATAGGCTAATGCTCATTCCCAGCCCAGCAATCTTTTTTAAAATATATTTGCATCTGCTTGCTAGGGATAATAGTTACCAATAAATATCTTAACTGAATCAAGTGTTTCAGAAAATACTCTTGTTGCACTTGTTTCTTCTGCAAGAATACTTTGTAATCATACTGGATCAAGCAGTGTTGCTTGAACACTTCTGTTTTTAATATTATTTTAAACCACCATTTTTCAAGCTTTTTAAATTATTGGAATAAACTTGCAGAATCATGGCGGCACCTTGCTGTTATTTTTTAGGGCAGGTGTAAAGTAGATATGGCATAACAGGTAGAAGTCTGTGTGAGGCACTGTTTATAAGCAAGGATTTCCTGACTCCCAATTGTTTAACAAGAACAAAATGACTATTCCACACCCCAGATAGCTGAAATGAAGAAAGCTGTAGGGAATAAACAGGAGTGGTTTTTGTGTGTGGAAGGATATGAGATCTATTCATTTAGAATGCTGAGAACCCATTCCTGACTCTTACAGCAGCAGGCAGTTTTCATGTTCATTTGTTTCAACATCTATGAATAAAATGATAATAAAAACAAAAACAAATGCATTGTTGCATCTTAAAGACCTTTTTTCAATGTGAACTTTTATGAATTATACATAGAGGAAGTTTCAATGTAAATGTTTATGAATTATACATAGAGGAAGTGGATTATAAGCCATACAAGCTTGCACCTGAAATACACCTGCTAATCTTTAAAGGGCCACAATACTTTCACCCATTTTATTATTTGCTATACCTGACCTCAAGATTCTTTAATTTTCAGTAGAACATATAAGCAGCCATTATATGTTCAATGATATGACCAATAAACAAGGTTCAAAATCCAGATTTCATGTTAGGGTAATACCTTTTTTTAAACCAATGAGAAAAGGAATAATCTTCATCAACATCTTAGAACTGCAGAGGTGGAAGGGATCCTATGGATCATCCACTCCAGCCCTTCTCAAGAAGCACAGTGGGGAATCAAATGCCCGACCTCTGGTTCTGCAGTCAGAGGCCTAAATCACTGAGCTAAAATGGTATTCCCAGTGCTGTTCTCATGAATATCCAGATGTGATGTTTGAGAGTCTGGGCAGGAATGAGAGAAAGGAAGAGGCAAAAAAGCAAAAACAGGCAGGCTAGAATTTGCTAGAATTCATAGTTGGACTTTATGTCTGCAGCAAGGATCAAATCACTCCTGTCCCTCTTCTCAGCCAGGACAGCAGCTACTTTCTGTTGCACTTCAATGCTATGAGGACCTCATCTGAGGGAGACATTTTTGAATATTAGCTGCTGTTCTCGTTCTCCCAGAAACAAATCAGAAAATAATATAAGACCTGGTCTGTTTCTGCATTTAGCTTTTTGCTTTTCTCCATTCCTCTTCCATCCATACCTTTTGTAACATAATGCCTGACTGAGGATAGTGGTGATGAGAGTTTGTGACCCTGAAAACTTGGAGAAAGTGTTGTGCCTTTAGGGCCTAATAACAGTTATTATAGAATCAAAGAATTCTAGAAACCCCTAATATGAGGTTTAATTCTGTTTGTTTGTCTTTTGCACAAGGCCCTGCTTGGCGGATCTTGGAGTTTAAGGAAACTCCTAAGGTAGATCCCATAAACCTGAAGTTTATTACCCTTGTTTCAAGGTACAAATTTGTTTTAAAGTTTCTGTTGATGAGCCCCACTATTGATGAGTGCAAAGAACAATCTTCACAGGAAATGTTTGGGCAGATGCCAGAAGAAATTGTCATGTATTCCTTAGTGCTTCAAGGAAATCAAATAGCAAAGCATTCTTGAATACTTTTAGGAGGTATTTTAGAAAGATTCTATAGAGAAGTGTGTGTTTGTGATGTTATGTATCTTTGTCCAAAAAGTCTAGTCTCATCTGGCAAGTACAAAGAAGTTAAAAATCATGGTCGTAATGAAACAAATATTTTTACAATTCAACAACTACAGGATTTAAAAAGTTTAGGAAATTCCAGATGTCCCCCCCCNAGATGTCCCCCCCCCCCAACACCATCATGTAGTGGCTTCCTCACTATTATTTGCACTCCGTTCCGGATAAATCTAGAAGGTTGAAATTATGGGTGTGTGAGTTTCAGCCCATCTGATTTGTATCTGAATAGTTGCTGTAGAGATCGGGACTGCCCCACCCCGAGCTTATTTGGAAATGGCATAGATGGAATTGTTCTTGGATTTTTGCAGATATTTATGTGTTTCTGGACTTGTGAGGGTGGGGAGCATGAATGAGGAAAACAAAGAGCTATGAACTGCACTGGGGATGCTATACAGCATCATCAATTTTAGGAATATGGGCAACCTTCAGTGTGCAGCATCCTTCCTCTGTCACCATTTTGGGAAACCATGCACTCTCCGCTTTGCACAGTTGCTGTCCTCCTGCAAGTTACCCTGCATACTCATCCCTGGATCTTCTGAAAGAAAAGATGCTTATACAAAGGTGATAATGACACAGGAAAGGCTGTTCTGTGCCATTGAGAAAATAATCCACAAATGGCATCCAAGCACAAACAAAACACAAGTATTTATTGATTTTCAACAAAATAAAACACACAGTCTCTAGGGCAATGGAGGAGTATGGTCTCAAGAAAGAATTCCTTGCAGTCCATACAATGATGCAACATATTATCCATTAATTCCTCATTTAGTACCACAGAAGAGGAAGCACAGTTCAAGTGAAATTCTGCTGTTGGCTCTTCCTTTGAGATTTGTTCCTCAACATGCAGTAAGGCTCTCTTTATGTTCAGGTTCGCTCCAGGACAATTGCCCTGTGCACAACGGAAATGCATAAAGACCCAACATGCAACATTTTTAATGACAAAGCAAAACTGAAGTGTGTCAAATCTGGGAATAGTGATGCACAAGAACCATTCCGTGTGTGTACATTTACCTATCAGTGAGTGCATGGTTTGTCACATGTGCCCATCAACACCTGCTTTGGCTGCTACTCTACACATTGAATATGTTGTTTCTATCATCACATGTAAAATGGCCATAAGATTCATGATTCACATACAGTTCATAGCATAATTCAAACAAGCAAAGATCATCATCTTTCAGCTACTCATCAATACTTCCTGAAGCCTGGCATTTGAGTAATTGGTGAGTTCCAGAATATTCACACTTCCAGTTTTAGGTTCACAAGGCACATAAGCCCTATTCACACTTTGTGCTGTGGAAATAATGCAAGAAGGGAATGTAGGGCCATGTGTGTCAGTCCTGTCTCAAGGATCACAACATAAATAGGGCCTTGCCTATTCCATTCAACCTTTCCACATTCCATTTAAGGATCTATCGGAAGATGGCTGAGTGTACTCGATTGATGGTGCTTAGATGCTTCCCCACCCTCAGGAATCCTGAAAACTGAGAGTTATAGATTGTAGGGAGCCACCTAAGAACATTCAGTGGAATTTGTTTTTTATAATAAGAGTTCAGAGACTTAATAATAATCCCACCAACATCAGGAGTAAGAGCTGTGGGAGCTACAGGGCAGGGTGTGTCCACAACCCTATATTATCTTCATGCCAGATTTGTACATAATTTGGAACACAACCTAATGAAAATATAGTAATGCACGTAAATACAGTGTACTTCCTTTGTTCCCCTCTAGCTCACACAAATTGAAGGACTTACAGCCACTCTTGTTTTTTATATTGGGGTTCAGGTTTGAGTGACGATGCAATGTTCCATCCTTACCCCTGTGTGGGACTACTGCTGGTCCAGCGACCTTTGTGATGGTAGCTGCGATACAATTCCTAGTTTCCTTCCTTATCCAAAGGAAACAAGATCAGTGTTTTCATAAATGCAGGGCGAAGTACAGTCTCTCCTTGCTTTTCCATGCCAACTCTATATCCCTACTTCCAGGGCACCTTCCTTCATTTAAATCTGAGGTAGGACTCAATCAATAAGTAAGCTCACTAAGGGTTTCCTAGAATTAAAAACATCACTTGCCAGCAATATCTGAACCATGTAAATATTATTAATCCTCGCTTCCGTCTTTCTTTTTTGCTCTTACTTCTTTAATTTCCCTCCTTCCTAACTTCCTTCTGCCTTTTTTTCACTTATTTTCTTCCCCTGCTTCTTTTTTTCACATGCTTCTGCCTTCTTCTCATTTCCACTTTCATTCCATGCCTTTCTCTTCCCTTTTACAATATCTGTCTTACACAAAGGTGAAATTCTCTTACATTTCTTTCAGTATCACTACATTCATCTTAAATGGGCCATTATTTACATTTAAACTCCAGAAGTGATCCAGCTGTACCACTACAACATAATTTCTTTTGACAGAAAATGGCAACCTTCTATTTCCTCTTTCTTTCCATGATCTTTTAAGTATGAGTTTCTTTAAGTTCAGTGGTAGCTGTCTACATCAGGTGTCCTTGGGTTAAAACTCCCCAAAGCCTTCAGCACTAGCTGTACTGGCTAGGATTTCTGGGAGTCGTAGTCCAAAAACATCTAGGGAGCCAAGGTTGGGAATCACTGGTCTAGATCACTATGCCAAGTAGTACACAAAAAGTTCTTTGTCAGCTACTGGACTATTTTCTCTTCCTAGAAAATCCCTTGGAAGCCACCGTAGCTTTCAGTCCCTCTGGCAGATTTTACCTCCCTCTATTCTCTCTGAAGATATCAGAGTGGATTACAATAAGCTTTTCCCTCCTTGCTACAATCCTGTGAGGTAGATTAGGCTCTAAGTCAACTACTGGTTCTCATGCCTGAACCAAACATTCCATTGTAAGCCCTGAAAGTCACATTTTCTACAGTGGGGATTATTTTATATATATCCCTGGTCTCTTTTTTCCTGATACTCCATTTAAAACATTTGTACCTGCTCTTTGCGTGGAGTGAATTCAAAGTCAAAGATTGAGAATTGATGCCTTTTAACATTTCAGCAGATAATATTTCAAATAAACATTATGATAAAGTGATTCAAGTATACTTTTGACTTTGACATGTTTATGGCCTAGTTGTTCTGTTTCTCGGAGGACCGTCTTTACTTCCAGGTCGGATCTAAAGAATTTGTGTGAGCTGGTAGTGTATACACCTCCCCCTCCATCTTGTTTGAAGTAAGAGGACTGTACATTAAAAGCATCATCCAGAAGCACCCGGGTGAAAGTGGGCATTTGCAACAGTATGAAAATGTTACATCAGAATGGATTGCGCATGGAGTTTATCCAGGAATTATCCCATCAGTAGGGCCCTACATTCCTCCTGAAACCCGCTTACTGTTTCCCCTCAGAATACTAAGTATGTTTCCCATAAACAGATCTGGGGGAACACTTCAGAAAAATTCATCAGATGGGATTCAAATGTTGCTTCAGAATCAGCTCTGTATCACACCGACTTTGTGGAATCACCAAGGTCTTTTCACACAGTTTCACTCAGAAAGGTTCTGCCCTTTCAGGGGAGAGAGATACAACTGGTGCTCCTTCATACAACGTACCCTGCCCTACAGAATCCCAAGGGCTCAGGTAGCAAAAGGTCTTCATTCAGCACTGAGCAAACCATCTCTGTTTCTTCAAGGCTACACAAGACCATTCAGTGGCCTGATGCTTCACAGTTCCACTTCCTGTCTTCCAGGAAAGTCTGCCACAGCTCCACAAGAGCTGGGATTCCAAGTCACCTTGATATTCAGTGCTCTCATTGCTATAGCTGTTACTTAGTCACTTCACCCTCTCTGGGAAAAGCTCTGAGATCCAGTTCTGGTTTGTAGGCCAAAGTAACTTCAGACAAAGCAGAAGAATTTCTTCCATCTGCATTTGGAGAGGGTCTTGATTCCCTTGGCTGTCATTTTCTTTTCCTGTTGCGCCTTGTGTTCAACTGCACTGACAATGGCTGTATCAAAAACCTCCTTCAGGTTCTTTTGAGTTAGGGCAGAGCACTCTACATAAGTCTGGGCCCGGATTTTCTCTGCCAGGCCTTCAGCCTGAGCTCTTGGCACAGGCTTTACATGGTAATGGTCCAAGCTGATCAGCACGTTGACATCATCACGTAGGTCAGCCTGTGTTCCCACCAGCACCACTGGAGTTTGGGGATTGTGAGTTCGTATTTCAGGAATCCATTTTTCTATAATGTTTTGGAACGATGTGGGATTTACAACACTGAAGCAGACCAGGAAGACATCCGTGTCAGGATAGCAGAGCGAACGGAGGCAGTCAAAGTCTTCCTGCAGAAGAAAAAAGAGATACAGATATCAGTTTGGGGCAGATTCAGCCCAAAAAAAATGTTTGCCAAATAAACTTCAGTGGACTCTAATATTCTTTGTTGTTTTTGCTACATAGCTAGCAGCTTCTTATAAAATAAAGCAACTTTCTGTTCCCCACAAAGTTCTAAAACAGGGGAGGACAACTGTGGCTTCCTAGATGTTTCTGGCCTGTTCTTCCCAGCAGCCCAGGTGACATCACCTCAGCTAAGGAATTCTGAAAAATGCAGTCCAGAAATATCTCAAAAGAGGCCCAGTTGCACATCTCCACCATAAAATCAGGAGTTGGCAGTCTTTCTCCAGCAAATTTCATGAAACCAACAAAGTGTTTGAGCCTCATAGGTTTTTTAAAAAGGGGAAATAAAGCCCTTCGGTAACTTCCTTTAATGACAGGTTCAGGCAAACTCAGACTAAGAAAAAGGGCAGACTTTAAGGTCCACTAAAAGAAGTACCACCTCAAGCAAAAAGAAAACATTCCTGAAGGACCCAAAGGAAGAAAACGAATGGTCAGGAGGCTTCTTTTGAGGAAAATATGTGCCCCCGAGAATAGATGTATATCACATTTTTAAGGACCCCAGCTGCAAAATGTATGTTTCAGTACATTTCATTTGCTAGAAAGCCAGTTCAAATGGCACCTGTAGCATCAACTCATCATAGACATGCTGAGAGCAATGATGCGCTCCTTATCTGCCATACAAAGATGTTAAGATCAGCTTACCATACAGAATTGTTGCAAGTGTTATGGACTTCATGCATTTCAATGGTTTTCTGTGCTTGGCGTATACTATGTTAAGATTTATTCTCACCCATTTCCCCCTCACTTCACTCTTATTTCTAGATTTCCATCACCTTCTTCCTAGCATTGTTTTGGCATTTCATCAAAGCTGCATGGGGAGCTCACCTGTCCTGCAGTGTCCCATAACTGGATACGGACTGGTGCACCATCTACCAGGACCTGGACTGCAAAGAGGGAAAGAGAGGAGGGATGAGGATGATAAAGTACATTCACTAACATTGAGAGCCTGGAAATGTTACTTTCTTGGACTACCACACCACCATTCTCCAGTCAACATGGCTGCTGGCATGCTGGCTGGGGGATTCTGGGAGTTACAGTAAAAAAAAAGAGTAGTTTCTCCCCTAGTTCTGCTAGTACCTGTCCTGCTCTTAGTATGTCACTGACACCCATAATACCCTTTCCTAGTTAACAAGCAGATTGTCTACAGACTAAGAAAAAACACATTACAGACTTTGAAAGGAAATCCAGTGTGTATCCAAGGCAGATTTAAAACCATACAGTCTCCACATGCCAACAACTTTAACCTCTATTTGTTCATTGCCTCTGCTCACGCATTTACATTATGAACAGGCAATTGTGGGATCATCTCAGGCCATGCAGTGTGCAAAGCAAGACATGATTCCACCACGTGAAAAATAATAATCACACAGCTTTTCCAGATTCTTTTCCATACTTCCATCTTTGGTACATGTACTGATTATCATGCATACAGGCTACAAAGTTACAAGAGGCACTGTGATCCCTTAGGTTTTTCAGTTCATTTTTTGTGGGGTGTCCACATAAAATGGTTCAACAGATATTCAAAACACCTTCCTTGGCATCTGGGTAGCTACGGAACTGTTCATCTGAAAATGAAAATACACTGTGCACATGAACTGTGCAGGAAGCAGGTATGTACTTACGCCTAATAACCAACAGAAACATGAAAAGTAGCTTTTGCTTTATTGTGTGAATACCATTTTTATTACACCTTGAGTAATAAGGGGTGCAATAATGGAAGGGGACCCAAAAGGAGATGGCAGTCTTTGCAAATGATTTGGATCCAGATTTCATCTCCCCTGTTAATGCTTAGTAAAATGTAATCCTGCCAGTTATATGCCAAATATTTGGATTAATCTCTCCACATATTTAGACAAGAGATAAATACACTGCAGTCTTCAAGTGTGACTGCATCTTTGATCCTACTGCTAATATATGCAGTATATGTGTATGCATAGGCACACGTGCGTGGGAATGCACATATGTGCACTCCTACCTACACAGAGTTATTATTTATAAAGCTTGCTTATGCTGGCTAGGCACCATGGAGTGATCAAAATCCTTGGACCAAGATCTGCTTGTGGCATAACATACAACACAATAAATACACATTCAGTCCTCAGCTGTGGCAATCTGTGTATTTGTTTTTCACTATTTCGTACGCAGACACGCTTCCGAAGAAGCAGCTGTCTGAAGGACGAGAGTTCTCTCTGTCATGCTGATGAAGAGGTGGAAAGATCTACTGCAGATCTCCAGAGTTGTTCACTGCCAAAAATGGAACCGCTGATGAAGAGGTGGAAAGATCTACTGCAAATCTCCAGAGTTCACTGCCAAAAATGGAACAGTTCTGCTGGCAATGAATTCATACTATGTTTGTACCAACACTACGGTGACAGTAGTGTCAGAAAAGGAAAGATTCCTGGCGTGGCAAAACAACACCTCAGTGGAAATATCCCTGTCTGACAGCTTTCATTATTTTATTCACATTTTCTGCAATGCTGGCACATGAGTATAATTCCATTGGTGATCGTAAATCCCATGACTTAATACATTTGAAAGAAGAAGTTCCTTATTACACAAATATCTCATTAACATCAGTGTCCCAAATGCCACCAGCATCCCAATGGTAATGTTCACATGCTGCTCCTCTAATTGTGACTAAACTACTATTGACAGAAGCTGCCTTAAATGCAACAAGCCCTACAATCCTTTTTTTTCCTTCCAGCACTGGCTACTGGTGGCTACTTGAAGGACAGCAGACATAATGTGCCAACTATCTGAGTTACTGTAGGATCTGGAGCAACAAAATTCAGCAGCAGATGCTGAATATGCTTTTAGGAATGGAATCAAACAGAAGAAGAAGAAGAACGGGCACGAAGATACAAGGGTAGAATTTTAGTTTATTTTTGTTAACAACATCTGTCTCAAGCATTTCTTAAGGCTAAGGGAGACTGACAAAGGAAGGAAAGGAAGAACTGGGTTTTCTATGTTACACTTAAACACTGAAATTCCATGAAAGGTTATCAGCAATTCCTCAGTGAGAATGTCAATAACAGAGATGGGTTTTCCTGGAGGACAGCATATGGACTATTACAAATTTCCATCTGAGAAACCGCTATGCTGTGCTAAAAGGCACACACTCGTTGCTTGCAAGAAAAGGCCTGGAAAAACCTGGCTAGGACTTTGGTAAGACCTACGTACTGTACGTGTCTCATAAAAGGCTCTCTCTAGGTTTTTCACAGAGCTTGGATATGTTCTGTTTTTGGACCCAGCCATTAAAAATCTCCTAGCCAGCATGACCTGGACTGACTTGGTACAGCATGGTCCAAATTTTCAAATTGTTGCCTCCATGACATCATTAAAATCCTCTTACTATCAAAAGATAGCTCATTTTTATGTTCATCTGAAACCTCCTGATGGTAAGAAGTGTTCAACAGTGCAACAGACAATCTCAAAAGGTGGTGGACGGTCTTTCATTAGAGATTTCTAAACCAATAAATCTATAAGAGATCTTTCAGCACTCCAACACTACATTTCAAACAAGCTGATCTTCCTTTCAGCTTTCTTCACTATCCACTTTTTACATCTGTGCATGACAGTTGGGAATATCATAGCATAGATAATCCTGATCCTCATCGCCTGCAATATATCCTTTTGAAACTCCTATGACATAGGAGTTTGGTTCAGTCCAGAAATCTTAAGAAAGGGCTGTGATTCAGTACGAGCTGCAAAAGGCAAGAGCTATACCACCTTCAGAAGGGACGTGGTGGCTGCGGGATAAACTGCAGAAGCCTGTGCTGCAAGGTCAGAAGACCAGCAGTCATAAGATCGAATCCACGTGACGAAGTGAGCTCCCATCGCTTTGTCCCAGCTCCTCGCCAACCTAGCAGTTCGAAAGCATGTAAATGCGAGTAGATAACTAGGTACCATCTCGGTGGGAAGGTAAAAAGGCGTTCCCTAGTCACGCTGGCCCTGTGACACCGGAAACTGTCTTCAGACAAGCGCTGACTCTACGGCTTGAAAAATGGGATGAGCACCACCCCCCTAGAGTCGGACACGACTGGACTAAAAATGTCGAGGGGAACCTTTACCTTTACCTATACCACCTTCCACCCCTGGAATATCATACAGACCCATCACCTTAATTTAGAGCTTAAAATATTGTACTTCTGGGGCTGTTTTCTTTGTGTTTTGGTCTCCAGCCTTGAGTGATAAAGAAATTTGCGACTTTGTTTCTGGCCCATTTTGTATTAAAGAGATATTCACATACTTTATTTCTTCAAAAAACAATTCTTTATCTTGCAAATTGGGTGAATGGAATTCAAGGGCGTATATTTTGTAGCATCTTTTCAAATTTTTTAAAGTTCATTGCATTTGCAACAGTGCCATAGAACCTAAAGAGCAGTACGTACACTTAAAATTATTTTCTAGTTTCTTCATAGCTACCTTTCTGAGTTTATAGCTAAAATGCTATTGCATTTGGTACAGTGCAAAGTGTGCCTTCAGAATTTCAGAGAGTTACTGTACACCCAAGCAATCTGTATTGTATGTCTGATTGCCCAATGGAGTAGAGTTGCACAACATGGCTATAGAACTGTTTACTGGATATGACTTCCAATTTGAAGAGAATTTTGTGATCACTTGTGCAAGTTTGAGTTATACAGGTGAAACTACACAAAATGAATCTTTTTCTGTTTTCTTGGCTGCAGTTTTCATTTAAATTGATGATGACTCAAGCCAGGTACCGAAAATCTTTAACTATTTCTATTTCTTTCTTGTCAACATTAAAGTAATATAATTCTATAATCATTTTTTATCTTCCTAATGTTCAGCTGCAATCCTGCTTTTGCACTTTCTTCTTTAAGCCTTCTCAATTAATCATGTCAAGCCATTGCTTTTTTTGCCAGTAACATCTATCTGGCCATACACATTTCTTAAATTACTGTTGTTGTTTTTTCCAGGGAATAAGCTGAGAAAAACAACAACAAAAGTCCATCTTGCCTAGGACAAGTATGCACTTGCGGAGTGGCGCACTGAGCAATTATGTTTCCTCAACTTTTATGGAAATTTAGGGGGTAACTGAGAAACCAATGGAAGAAGAGAGGCTGGGATATAAATAGATAAAGAGAGTGTGCATAATTAGCATGAGTGTGTAATGAAGGAAAGGAGACATCCTGTGCTAAAGGTAACAGCAGTGGGTACTTCACACCAACAAGTTATATTGCCGCTCAGCCTTTTACTCAAGGGTGGGGTAGATAATCTTTATCATCTAAGAAGGCAGGGTTAATCTTTTCCCAGGATTTATGTCATTAGCAGGCAAATGAGAGGGGGCACAAAATGACTGGCTTTAAGATTTGTAGTGATTTACTGATCAAAACAAGGTTTGCTTCCTCTGGGCCTTTCATTAAGGCCCCACCCACCCCAATCAGTCAAACTGCCCCCCTCATGTTTCTCTTCAGTGAAAACAGAGCCCTGTCACAGTAATAACAGTCTGGACATTAAACCTTCCCTTCTCTTCTCGGTGAATTAGAAAAAGGAAAATAACATTTAATTTAAAAAAACAAAATTCTTTTTAAAAGAGTCACAAAAGCAGTGTTCATGTCATGTAATGCTAAGAACTAGTTGGTTCAGCTGCAGGGACAGGGATGTTGGTCATAGGAGAGCTTGGACGGAAAAAATATACAACTAATTTTATTGGGAACCTGGGTGCTATGGCATAATTGCAATACATAGCTGAATCATCAGGGAGGAAGGATCAATTTTTGTATCTCTGGTATTTGTTATATTTGCCTTGTTCTTACTTTAAGATGGATCATTACTGCAACGACCAAGCTTCTATATAAGAGTTGCATTCTGGAATATGGGAAAAATAAAGAATATACAGTATGTATAAAACCAAG